GGGCGAAGCGTCGCCGATGGTAGAGCCATCTTCTGTAGCCAAATAAAATCCTTCGCATCACCTCGTATTTGTGGATGCGTTCGGGTTGTAATGCGTTGACCCTGTAGCTCTTTGCAGCTTCCCTCCCTGCAGCCGTGCGGGCTGGTTTAAGGGTGGAGCTGGGAGAAGAGCCCTTGTGTTTCAGAAGCGGACTGGTTCAGGTTGCAAACGCTGGCTGCTCAAATCCCCGTGTTTATGTGATTCTCGGCTTTTTTTTTAAGGGGCTATGCTTTTTGGGAGGGATTTAACCTTAAAGTTTGAGGAGGAAGGGCCAGCACTTGGCTCCAGTTGAGTCTCAGTCCTTCGCGCGGAGCTGCTCCAGCTGTCACCTGAAAAGGACTCACAGCGACGAGCTCAACACGTCGGTGCGTTCCCTGTGCGCCTGCTGTTCACCGCTGTTGGCAGAAGTTTACTGAGCCAGTTAGAGCTTGGCCCCACCCAGTTACTTCCCTGCTAAGAGCGACCTGAGCCAGTTTGGTGCCTTCAGATACAGGAAAAAGCTGGAAATACTTCACCTGTGCCACTGTTAATTTTGAAACAACCTCAGAGTTTAAATGACTCGAGTTTACTGGCTTGCTGTGCCCTCTAGAGGACACTGTACTTCTTTTTTTTCCACTAACATGGAAATTGTATTTTAAAAGCTGGCTTTTGCAGTGTTTGCGGCTGGTTTTGCAGTATCCAAAATACCGTTTGACCTGCTCTGAGCATTTACTGAAGGTGTGTGTTTCGCAGAGCTTATCGGGGTACACAGCTTTTCAGTGCTGTTACTCAGTGTGAATATCCTTTGCATCACTGAATAAGATAATAAGGATTAATTTCTGTTAATCATTGAATTCCTAATAAATGTGGCGTATCAGTTAGGTCTAGAAGTTGTTGTTTAGGCTGAGAAGTAATTGCCTGATATTTAAAAGTACAAAGCTCATATGCCACATCTCTTATTTGTGACTAATACAAACCACGCTTAAGTATTTGCTTCATCGTGTTTGATACAAATTCTTTATGCGTTTTGTTTAATGCATAACTGTAAGCCAGAAGGTTCTCACTGTAACTTTACTGTTCCTGCTTCTGGCTTTTGGTTACAAGAAAAACAAAACAATTACTTGTGTTACGTTCTCCTAAGATTCTTGCTGTTGGCCCTTTCTCAAGCACTGTCATTTCCTGGGCAGTGCAGAAGACTTTGCTGTCCCGTTCCTGTGAAGCTCCTGCTAAACCTCTCAGCAATCAGATGACGCAAACCTTGCTCTGAAATACTTCGTAGTTTGAAATCCCAAATCCTGGTACCAAAGGTGATCTGGCAGTTACCAGTTTGTGCAGCAGAGGAGAGGCACTGGCGTCTGTTATCACATCACGTCATCTCTGTCCCTTTTGGTTCACGTAGTTTAAGATTCTGTTCTCATATGATAATTGTAGGTGATGGAACTGAGAGGTGATTTATTGTCAGGAATTCAGGTGGAAGGTGCAGCCATCACTCAAGTAACTGAGCGTTCAAGCCAAATAAAGAGTTAAAATCAATGTAAGCCTGGACGTGTTTCAGTGGTTTTCGATGAAGTTGCGTGGATGTGTCCGTCTGTGTTGAGACTGTTACAGGTTTCCGCTGTTAGTAGTGGAAGAGAATTTTGTAGTGTTGGTGTAGAGAGAAAATAATGCCGTAAAGTACTTAAACCTAGGTAAGTGAATAGGTGTGAATTGTTTGTGTTGGGTTTCCTTCAGATTCAGTAACTTGGGTGGGGAAAAGTAAAAACTTACAAGTATTTGCATTAGGAAAGGAAGAAGAAAAGGGGATATGGATTTGCCTTTCAGCACATCAAAGAGAAGCAGCAAGTGACCTGTTTGTCCCTGGATTAGGGGTGGGATGTGGTCTTCCCCTGGTGCAAGCAGAGCCCTGGAAAGCCGCTGTGTCTTCTAAGGGGGGTGAAGTGGCTGATGGAAAAGCTTCTAATTTGAAGGAATTCACCATTGCTATGTGTTGTGGCTGCATCTTGCTGCAGCTTTTATACTGGGAAGCTTAATTATCCACGAGGAGAATAGAAATTGATTGAACTTGTCCATGTTTATTCAGAATTGAGAGATTCAGGATTAATCTGGCAGGAGGTTGTAAATAATGTTACTTTGCAGCATGAAGTCGTTGTTTGCTTGTTTTTGTTAACTCGTTCTCTGTATTTTTCTTTTGATTTGCAGTGAAATAAAGAGAGAAAAGAGAGTCCCCTCACCAGATGTTATAGTGTTATCTGACAATGAACCTTCTAGCCCTAGAATGAATGGTTTAACAAAAATAGCATTAAAAGAGACCAACACAGAGGCACTCATGGTGAGTCTTCTTGTCTTGACACACTTTAAGCTGTGCCATCTAGGAAGAAGAAAACATACCACTTGCTTCTACAGAGGCACCTGCGATCACAGGGTCAGGTGGATATGGGTTTTATAAAGATGGATTTGCAAGCAGGGAATCTTGAAGCTGTTAAAAGCTGATGTCTTTTTTTTTTTCCAGGCTTTTACCTCCTTGATTTTCATATGCTTCGAAAGTGCACCTTTTTCAGAATTGGCTTTTTAGTGGGCACAATGTCGCTTGTTCAGCATGGCATAACACGGGTTTTTTTGTCTGACTCTTCATTTGACTTTGTTTACTTGTTTTGCTAGTGAAAATATCTCAAACTTTTTTTTGCCTTTGAGTTCTTTCTCTGTACTCAGTTTGTGTGCATATATTGCAGGCATGTCAGTAATATTAAGACATACATGACAATTATAATGCTGTAAGTTCTTGTTGTAACTTGTATGGTATCTATCTTTTCCCTCTCCCCCCTTCCTGTTTTCCCATCCTCTATTGCCTTACCTGGCCCTGCAGAAAAGCAGTCCAGAGGAGCGTGAGAGAATGATTAAACAACTAAAAGAAGAGTTACGGTTAGAAGAAGCAAAGCTTGTTTTATTGAAAAAGTTACGGCAAAGTCAAATCCAGAAGGAGACCACTACTCAGACGGTATTTATTTTCTTACAGATGCTTATCATCTCATCTTTTGAAATGGAGGGGGGAAAATAGAAATAACCGTGGCAGTTACCATAGCCTTTGGAACATAAGATAGCTTTCAAATAAAGCATATCTCATTTTTCATAAAATCTTTATGAAGTTTATAGTGGCTTATCGTGTTAACCATTCCTTTTTGTGGAATTCCTTTTTCTGTCTTGCCAAGACCAAACGACAAGACAGTGTATCCTATCAACTGTATTCAAAAGCTGAAGACCGTTTTGTTAAAACTCAGGTGCATTTATGAATGTAATATACTTCCAATTATTAAACGCTCCGTCCAGTCCTTAATGCTGCGTAGAGGTTGCTGAAATACATTTGGAGGAGATTCTTGCATGTGACAGATGTGCTGACAGGGAGAGTTAAAGCGTTTGAACCCCAGGCTCTGGGAGCTGGCAGCCGAGGGCTGCGTTTTGTGCTGCGTGGCAGAAGCCCAGGTCTGGATTCCAGGTCTTACCAGGTGAAGTAAGTCTGTGGTTAGCTGCACGCTTTCATCATCCAAGAATCCAGGCAGCCCCTGGAAGGAATGGTTCAGCCCTCCCACCCTGAACTCCCTTCCCTTCCTCCTCTTTTCTCCCCACCCCTCATCTCACAAAACCATGCACGATTTCCAGAGTGCTGGGAGAAGTACTGTTTTCATCAGAAACTGAACCCAGAAAAACGTCTACCTTTTTGTCAGAGCGGTTGCCCGGTCTGCTCGCTATGTGTGCCGTTCATGCTGGCACTGAAGGGTAGAGGTGGCGGGTGGCAGGAGAAGAGCAGAGGAGGTTGGGAGGTGAGGGGGCGTGCGAACACCCCACGCGCTGCTATCAAGGCACAGGCTAAATTTCAAGTATCTGTAACAATGGCAACTAAACGATTTTATTTTACAGCGTGATGCTGACTTGATGGATTTTGTGATGGGGGCGATGTGTAGATTTAAGTGCACTTCACGGTGCAGATGGATGTTAATACAGCTCTCTTGGCTGGTTTTGGTTGTTTATTGGCGTCTTTCTCCCAGACTTCTGAGTGCTTCGGTAGATGGAATTAAAACTAATGCAAGTACCTGCATCACTCAACTCACTGCTGGTCGCTGACCAATGAGCTCTGGATGTTTGAACTAACTAGGGTGAAATGGCATATCCTAAACTTCTTGATAGCTGAAGTCTTTTTCCTAAACTTTTTCCTAACTCTTTTCACTTTGCGTTATGCTTGAACCTTGAATAGTTAGTGAGACTATTAGACCACTAGTGGTAATGGATAAGACTGAAGTGGGGTCTAAGCTGAGACTGCCAAAGTAGATTTCGACATTGCTCTGCTTTTGGTGTATAGACTCTCTTATTTTCCTGGTATAATTTTATCTATACTTACCTAATAATTTCTTCATTTAAATATGCATGTTGAGATGCTTGGAGGAAGAAAGGGATGGGGGAGGGGGAAAACCACAGTCTTTGAAGATTCTCTTACTGAGGCACAAGGAGGTAAACGCTTTTATTCCCTTAGCTTCTGTAATTCTGCTTACACCCTTACACTCGTCTGCTTTCTTTCTGGTTTTTCCTCTTCCAGCCTGCTGGTTCCTCTGGGAGTGCTGTGGCCACCCCTCCGCCCTTGGTGCGGGGACCGCAGAGTGTTCCTGCTGGCAAGCCGTCCCTCCAGGTCAGTGGGGTGGGCCAGGCTGCCAGGTTTAGGGCACGGAGCAGAGAAGAAGGTGCACAGTACAGGAAGGACAGTCCCATCACATTAATGCCTTGGAGTCAGGTGGAATTTTTTTTTTTAAAACTCCCGAAACCCCACTATAAGCTTTTTAAGAACAATTGGGGTGGGAGATAAAAGTAGGATGTCACATGGAGATAACTCTCATAAGCTTATTTTTCAGTGGCTGATCATCCTGATCCACTCTGCTGATAAATACATCCATACTAGTACTAACGACCTTTGGCGAAAGAGGATGCCATGGAGTTACGTCATAGAAATATTGTGGCAACCTGTTGCCGCATCCTCAAGAGACTTAATTGTGCCCTCAGTATGATTAACTGTAAGAGCTGAGTGAATCATATGATTTTTCTCTTTTGGCTTGGTGGCTGAATGGCACATGATGCTAGGAAAGATCTTGGTTCAGACTAAATTAAATAAAATGTTGGAAAGCTTTGGGGAAGGAAAAAAAAAAAAGCAGAGGCAATTGACATCTGTCAACCTAATCTTCCTCTTGAGTCTACTATCTAGTTTTGGGTTTGGATTTAAAACATGTCTGGTTATTTACTTGGGGCTAATTCGAAACAAATTTCAAAACTGCTTCAGCACAAAATGCCTTCACTTGGAAAATGGCAACTCTTCATTTCAAAATCCCCTAGAATGCTATACTCGAGGGAAGGGGTAATTTTGCTATCCATTCAGGAAACATTCACAAAACCTAAAGCAATCTGTCAGTTGGAGTAATCTCTTCCTTGAGGCAAGTTGCCTTCACTGAAGACAGCACTTTCAGAGGAACTGGACCACAAGTTAAATCTTCAGCAATCAGACAGTGAAACTTCGGTTGGACAGAGCAGAGAGCTGGGAGCTAAGAATCCAGAATTGAAGTTACTCTGTCTAACTTGCGGTGTTTGGGCAAATTAACCTAACCTCCATCTGCTTTTGCTTGACTGTAAAAACTCTACTAATTCCTGTGTGTAGGAGTTGAGTTAACATTTGGTCTTCAGTTGAAAGGCGTAACAGAAGAGGATAAAACTTCCCACCTGCCTAAATATGTACATGTGTGTACACATGGTCACTCATGAAAGTGGGAGCTTCAGTGTTTTTAAAGTCTTCATTCACAGATCATGGTCAGTTTGGGGCTTGAGTGAGGGAAGTGGCAAGACGTGTAAAGCCACATGAATAGGATGGAGAGGTTTGTTGCTCTTGAGCAGCGAGTGCTTCTCGGGCTCAATTGTGTAGCATTAGTGGTCTGCAGGAATGTAAGTGATGCATGAAACCATATCACCTTTTATAGTGTCACGAGAAACTTCAAGCATCTAATGCATCTGCAGCCCAAAAAGCATGGGCAGCAATTTTTCAAATTTCTTTAGCCTGACTCCTTTTCTTTTTCATTTTTCTGAAGCTTTCTCCTTTTCCTCTCTCTTTTTTCCTTCCCACATACATGCACATGCCCGGTCTGCTCACCTCCCGGGGTTCCTGCATCTCCAACTTCTGTTTGCCCTGTGCCTTCTCCTTGAAGACAGCAGTTTGTATTTCCCCATTCTCTTACTCCCCCCAAAATACACTTTTTTCTTTCTTTCTTTCTTTTTTTTTTTGTTTTTTGTTTTGGACACTAAGTGCACTGAAGCCAGCCCGGCCATCTCTTGTCCTACAGTATTTCCATTGGCTCAGGACAGATACTGCATCCGTCCCATCAGCCAGAGAGGAGAGCTGTGCTCGCGTGCCCCCTGCTCTTGTACTCGGGTTATGGTGTGCTTCTTTGGTGTGTCTCAGTACAGCAGTTCTTGAGCTATTGAATTTCAGCGGCGGGAGGGCAGATGAAAATGTTGTTCAGGGCTACTCTTTACCTTTTAAATTCCATGCAGGATGAGAGAGAACAATCCCCGAGTGTGTAGCCAGACTGCCATCGCGTCCTTACGTATGCCTGTATTGCTGCGTAAGATTTCACATACTGCTTTATCGGCACACTAAGCAGCAGAAGAGAGCATGCATATACATACCAGAACAAAACAATGCGAGTAAACTATTTTCTGTTTTGCAGACCTCTTCTACACGTATACCAGGCACTGTTATTCCTCCTCCCTTGGTCCGTGGAGGGCAGCAGACTTCTTCAAAATTGGGAACTCAGCAAAACACGCAGATAGTAATGCCACCTCTTGTCAGAGGAGCACAGGTAAGTATTTACGTTGTGGTAGATCCGCTCTGTTTTTCCTTGATGCATCTTAACTATTTTCTTAGTCATCTTTCTGCTTGTCTGGAGGGAACCTATGAAGTTCTTGCCGGAATTTCTTAATGTGGCTAGATGTATTGCAGCTGAAAGATCCCACATCATTTCAGTTTTGTGTATTGTGCTGTCCCATAACACTTCCAGTGAAGCATGAGAAAATCCTGTGGTGATGCAGGATACGGTCTTAACCTGCATAGCTGCTTCCCTTAGCTGTGCCAAAGCAGTTTGTTTGCCTTTATTATAAAAATTAATTTACAGGCTTCCACCTTCACCCGCTTTTTAGGAGAGCGGCAGCAGAGGAAGTGAAACACAATCCCTCGTTCTTCCATTTTTTCCTTTCATTATTCTTTCTGTCATATCAATTTCACCTTTTCAAATGCTAAAACTCACTTTTTTTCCCCCCTTCATTGTGTCTGTCTTGCCACTGAGTAAGAGCTGCTGAAATGAGATAATCGACTGGAAGTCTGAAAGTGCTGCTTTGCAGGGTCTTTATCACCTATAACAGAAAATAGTGGTGTCACTGAAGGAGTAGGAAAGCAATGTTCAATTTGATATGGTCTTCTAAAATTATGACTTCCATGGGATACCAGGAAAAAAACATTTCCTTGTTAAATGAGGATTTATTTTGCCGTGAAAGGTCTGCTTTTATCTGTTGCATAGCCAGCATTAAGGAGGAAGATAGAGATTTGGTATTTCATTTTCTTTCTGTTCTGATTATGGAGAAAAACTCATTCTGAGAAATAGCTTTCCTAATGCCTTTAAAATGAAACAGGCTTAACTATACATTTTGAAAGAAATTTGACTTGGAAACTTAGATTTTTTTTTTTTTTAATTTTTTTTTTTTTTGGCACAGCTGTTTTGGCTGTAATGTGATGGCCTCACATACGAGCATCTCTTCACGTTATGTTCTACTTGTTTCATTTTGACAGAGGGAGAGGGAAAAACCATCACATTTTGACACGGATGTTAATTATCACGCTTTCTTTGCGTTCCCTGCGTTGCCTCATTTCCACTGTCTCATTTCATCCCATTCGACTCCCACCACTTACTTCCTACTATCTAATCCTCCCCATTGTTCATGGCACCATTGCATCAGCCCATTTCTGTGTCTTCCCAGCAAATCCACAACATCCGACAGCACTCCAGCACGGGGCCGCCTCCGCTGCTGCTGGCTCCGCGGGCATCGGTCCCCAGTGTACAAATTCAGGGGCAGCGAATTATCCAGCAGGGTCTGATCCGTGTCGCCAACGTCCCCAACACCAGCCTGCTTGTCAATATTCCGCAGGTGAGTTCTGTAAGATATTTTGTGCCAAACATAACATTTATCTCGGAGGAACAGATAAATGGTTTTAATTACTGATTGTCCGGTTACTGTATCTCATTGGTGTGGCCTGCTGTCATCTAACTGATGTGGTTGCTTATTACTACAGCTGTCCTGCTCCTTGTTCTTCCCATGCAGTCCCTTTCGCTGTTCACATTCACTTTCTGTACATAGGAATGAAGAAAAACATTACGGAGTATTGGGAAGAAATACATATTTCAGTGCACGGAATTTTGTGCCTCATTTCACATTTGGTATTTCAATATGAAGCTGTCCATAAGAATTTTTTTTTTTTCCTCTCTTCCTTAAGAAGCATAAATAGATGAGTGTTCTGGTAAACAGAGCTCAAAATGGGTTAGCACTCCTATTTGAAACACCAAGAAATACTGAAACAGCAACTTAACATCTGATATTGGCATACAAGTGCTGTAGATAAAGGAAACAATTTCAAGTCAGCGCTTTGACAAAATCATAAGGAAAAGGACTCCTTTTTGTTTTTTTTTCTTTAGAATTTCTAAAACTGCCTTATAAAAAAAAGATGAGTAGAGAAAAATAAAGTTCTCAGAAAAAGAATTAGAGCGCTAGATGACAGGTACAGTGTTGAGTGAATGTATGTATTGTGGTCTGTTTGGTCACCTACAAAAATAAGACTGAGAGGCAGGCGGTTTGGTCTGGTCCCAAGCAGCCAGCCTTCATCGCACACAAACAGCTCTGCGCAGCGGAGCCAGCGCTGCTTGCCTCCCTCTCGATGCAGAGGAGCGCGTGGCTCGAAAGCGCCGAACCATCTGGCACTTGTCACTAAGCTGTGTTGTGTTTCCTCTCAGGCTTCACCAACTTCAATCAAAGGTACAACCGTGACATCCGCTCAGGCTAATGCTACTACGACCAGCGCCGCTTCCATCGTCAACTCCAACGACTCGCCGGCCAGCCGGCAAGCCGCCGCCAAGCTCGCCTTGCGGAAGCAGCTGGAGAAGACGCTGTTGGAGATCCCTCCTCCCAAGCCGCCTGCGCCAGAGATGAACTTCCTGCCAAGTGCAGCTAATAACGAATTTATTTACTTAGTCGGGTTGGAAGAAGTTGTGCAGAATTTGCTGGAAACTCAAGGTGAGATAGCGTTAAAAATGTTCCTCAAAGGCGAAGAGAGAAACTTTCCCATCTGGATTTTATCTCAATAGCAGCAGCAATGAGTTTCAGGCATCGCAGGATTAAATTGTCATACTCTGTCAAATCTAGAATTCACTTCTTTTAATACTTTTCAAACTGTTTTAACTGTAAAATTCTGAAATTTCACAATGCTATGACTTCTCATAGGCTAGACACTGATTGTAAAGATTTCTCTAAAATGCATCCAGTTCTCCCCAGAGCTGTTCGCTTCCTATCAGCCACTTGTTTGTCCATCACCCCTAAATTCTCTAACCGGTATCTAAAGAAGTATCTGCTGGATACCTACACACTCACTGAAGTAAAAAGTTTAAAGATTTAGTAATGCAAAAGGCTTCAGACTGAGGAGAGTTAAGGGTGGAGGGTTTGCTTTGGGGTTTTGTTTTGTTGGTTTTTATGCTGGAATATTCTTGAGGTTTCTCAAGTATTACTCATTCATAGAAGCCACAGATGGAGCTGAGCTAAGCTGGTTGTGTTCTCCAGGTAAAGTTTCGGTCGCTGTATCATCTCGCGAGCCCTATATGTGTGCTCAGTGTAAGACTGACTTCACCTGCCGTTGGAGGGAAGAGAAGAACGGAACCATTATGTGTGAAACCTGCATGACGTCAAATCAGAAAAAGGCCTTGAAAGCTGAGCACACTAACCGACTGAAGGCTGCTTTCGTAAAAGCACTGCAGCAAGAGCAGGAGATTGAGCAAAGGATACTGCAACAGACTGCGTCTCCCGTACAGACCAAGTCAGACCCTATAGTGCAGCACCACTCGCTCAAGCAGGTAAGGCTCCGTCCAACAGAAGCCAGATCTCGGTGATGATGGGGCAAGGGTCCTGCGGCTCCAAGCACAAGTGTTTGGTGTGCAAGCATGAAACTGATGCATGAACTCGCAATATTTTAAGCTCCACGGTGTGTGTGTTTGAGTTTAAGCTTAAAACCAGACTGGTTAAAGTGGTTTTTGTCATGTGGGGACCTGATACTTAAATTATGTTCTGAAGAGCAGAAGAGAGTGGTATTTTTCTGCAGAGTCATTGTAATTATCCAGGGTGTTTAACTCATATCCTGCAAAGTCTGTTCCTGAATTTTTTTAGGAAGTACCGAATGGAAAAAGGTGCTCTGGTGCCAAATACACAAGAGTAAATTGACCCAAGACAGAAAAAAGAAAAATTGGCTTGAGCCAGGAACACATAATGTTGCTTGTGAAGTTTTAAGGTGATGGTAGCAGCCATCCATGACAGGGACTGGATCTCACACACCTTTTAGTTGGAGGAAGACAGAAGCTGCTTAAGTGCTGCTTTGAGTCGAAGTCATCAAGGTACAGGTTATTTAGGACAGGGAAGTAGAATGCTGCCTGTGTATGGAGATGCTTACACAGCACATTTTTTGCTGCTTTGCAGTTTAGTATAACTCCTCATCCCTTACAGGTGCTTTCAGAAGTAGAAAGCTGATTCTTACTTTGTTGTAGAGATGTCTTGGAAGTTTTCAGCCCTGAAACTACTGTAATGCAAGCCAAGAAAGGAGAGAGGGGCAGTAAAGATTCATCAAGGCTATTATACTTGAGAGACAGCAAACCGCTATGCCTGTCTTACCATTTGCTCTCTTGCCAGACTTCTAGCCAGATGTCTCGAGGTCCTCCTGGAGCTCCGCGAGGAGTGTTGCATGCATTTAGCCAGTCACCCAAGTTGCAGAATGCATCGTCTGCAGCAGCACTTGGGAGTAGGCCAGGTAAGCATGCTGAGAGACCTGTCAGCAAGGGCAGCGCTGCCGCCTGGAAGAAGACTCCCATCAATACAGGTAGATTTTTCTCTAAAGTTTCTTTTCTTTGTACTTACTAGCTGCACTCTGTCCAACAATCATAGTTCTTTGGGTAAGGATGCTTTCTCTTTGACACTTCCTGCATGAAAGCCCGACGGTACCGAGGCTTTGCTCGTAGTATTGTTGTTGGCACTTGCTTTTGGTGTGGTTTATGCTCATCAAAAGGGGCATTCAGGTGGTGCTACCAAATAGAAACTACCGCTTTACACATTTATAAACAGACTAAATAGATGTAATGTCAAACTGTTCATCGTTGAGTCCGTATGCACAGCCAGAACCGCGTTGCAGGAGTTTGTCATTTGTTTCTGGGAGTTTAATTCAGTCGTTTCGTTTTGACTCGTGTTTTCTCCTTGCTGAAAGCAACATGCAGTAAATGGATGTTTTTGCTCTAGGTAAGGCTACAGTGCACACTTCGGGCATTCCTCAGGATTTGAAATAACTAAACCTGTTGCTTTGAATAAATGGAAATTATAAATTCTAATCTTCTTTTTATATGTAAGAATCTGACTTGAGAAGAGTAATTTGTTTTCTTAAATGACAATTAGGATCTCCAGGAAGGAAACACTGTAGCAACTAGCTCTTTTGTGATCTACTTTCTTGCCCAGTATTAAATGGATTTCTTTTGATCTTTTATTCCTGACAGCTTTATTTGTCATTTAAAATGTAATTTCATTGCAGAGAGCTCTAGCCTGCTCAAATCTTCGTTTCTGGTACAAGATCTTGCTCCTGTTTGTTCGGATGATTTTGGAAGCTTTCATCTTCTGAAGGTGTCTGACCTTCATGGCCAATAGTGCCCCATGCTTACTTAGATAATCTGTTTTCATGTGGGTGAAATAAAAGTAGTGTGTTTTTGCCACTATTTTGTCTCATGTTTTTATCATACTGTGACATTTGTTCTCTCTTCTCTTTTCTATCTCGCCAGGTGGGGCTTTACCTTTTGTTAATCCTAGTTTAGCTGTGCACAAGTCGTCTTCAGCAGTAGACCGCCAGCGTGAATATCTCCTGGATATGATTCCCCCACGGTCCATCCCACAGTCCGCCACGTGGAAATAATGCAGAGGAATGCCCAAGAGGAAGACTTTTCCTGTTTCTGCCATCCTTTTATACCACATTACAGTGGAATCTGCTTTAATCCCAGCTGGATATGCCCCAGGCTTTATAGGATGCAAGAAGACCACTCCTCATCCCATCGAGTGCTGCTGTCCCTGCTATGAGAAGATGACGCCACGTGGGTGGGAAAGACTTAAGCTCATTTGGTTATCAGATTCGTATGATTGACTGATGATGAAGGCTGTCAGGGAAGGGGAAGAATTCTGGTTGGTTTTTTTTTTTTTGGCTTTATGTATTTAGTTTGGATATTTTTTTGTCACCAGCACAAAAGGAGGACTAAATGACTCTCTGCCTTCGGTTTCTTTATTAATAACCACCCATTCACCAGGAACATGGTGTTCGTTCACGATTGAGCATGGATGTCAGTTCAAGGAGAGAGGAATTTCAACCCAATCTTGCAGATGCATTTAGTGAGCCAAGTTCATGTTTGCTTTTCTTCCCTGCCCCTCCTCCAGCCAGGAAGGCAGTCTACAGATTATAATGTTTCAAAATCTTCTGATGATGAGCTAATGATAAATAAGTGCAAACTCAAATTCCAGTTGAGTATGGTTTTTTTCTAAGGGACTGGCTGCCACCAAAACTTGTCTGGTAGGTGGGAACCAGTGCAGGAGTCTCTCACTTTTGTTGGATTCTGTTTTGAATAGACTTTGAACTGTTGGTAGTCTAAAATCTAATTTACTGAATAGACAAACAGCTTTGTTCAGTCTTTCTAATTCAGCGAAGAGCAGTTGGGCCTTTCATATGTTCCCAGAGACTTAAAAGTGAAACTGTTTTTGATTATTTTCTTTTTGGAGGGTTATTTTTTGTTGTTG